GCAGTGGCTGCTTCTAACCTACCTGCAACAGGCTCTGCCAGCAGGGTGGGAAAAGCCACCAACATTTGCATCCTTCTGCTCTAAATCACCCAGGAGCTGCTCTTCCCAGCCCGTTCCCATGCCAAGATTCTTCTCTGCTTCCCCATGCAACTGCTACCCAGCTCAAAGAGCCCTTGTGCATCCCAGCTCGGGGACTGTCCCTCTCCCCTGGTGCCGTCCCAGTGACTTTAGCTGGTTGTCAGTGGCACAACCCCACTGACTGCAGGACTGGAATTGGTGGTGAGCGCTGCCTCGCTTTCTCCCCTTCTCTAAAACCTGTTCCCCTCCTGATGCTCCCCATTGCCTGGTCTGCATTTTGCAAGCTTCGGAGGATGCTGCTGGGGTTGCTCACAAGCCCTAGGGTTATCCCAGGGCCAGTGTTAGCCCCCCCAGGACTGGCGTTAGCCTCTCTAGGGCCAGTGTTAGCCACCCCAGGGCCAGTGTTAGCCACCCCAGGGCAGCACTGCCTGTACCGGTCCGCTGAAGCCGTGCCGCCGCTGCCCCATCGCGAGTAACAGCCGTGAGCAGTCAGATTTCCCACGGTGCTTCCCTCAAGTCCTGGTGCAAACCCACGTGGGTGCTTCCCGTGAGCTGTAAACACACCTACAGTGACCGGAAAAAGTGATTTTTTGGCGAGTTATATGCAGAAATAAGGTCTGGGGAACCAGGAGTGACAGGAGGGCTTTGTTGGGGGCTCCCTGTGGAGCACATGGGGGTTTGGGGATGCTCCTGGCATCGGCACAGGGCTGCAGCCTGGCTCCCGTCCGTGGGTCAGGAACGGCTGCACTTACTGCAGGCAAGCACCACTGCCAGCATCAGCAGGACCTTCATCTTCCTCTCACCCGGGCCTGGGAGGAGAAACAGGGGGAAGACTCAGCCAGGCAGCAGGTGCTGCCTTGCAAACTTTGTCCCTCTGAAATTCAGGTCAAGTCCCCCAAAATCTGAAGGGAGGAAGGCAGCTTTGCATCTGTGTTGCTGCCTCTCAGCTGAAAGCAAACACTTTCTGAAGTCGTCCCACCCCTCCGGGCATCTCCCACCTCCCTCCCCACCACTTTTGGTACCCAGGGCACCACTTTGCAGCAGTGGTGCAGCTGTTCCCTGAGGCTACAACTTCCCAACTGAGTTTTTATCTGAAAGCAATGACCCTTTATCTACCGGCACAGAAAACAGCAGAAAAAGCAGCATCCACCTTCCCGCCCATCCCTCCCCCATATTTTTGTCTTCGCAGCAGCGGGGCGAGGGTGGGAGTTGCTCACTGGGGAATTGCTCCGGCTCCGCTTCCTCGCTGCCGCCCCGTCCTCCTGAGGAGAGGCTCCCCTTCGTGTCCGGCCCGTGGGCTCTGAAGCGCTGAAATGGCTCGTCTGTCCCAAAACCGCTCTACGCTACGCCCCTTCCCTCGCCGGCCAAACCCCCCCTCTCCCCATGGGCTGTGACGCAGGGGCTGAGGCAGAGTTTTTGCAAAGGTTGGGGAGGATGATGTGGAGTATTTACGGGGATTTCTCTCCGTCTGCCCAGCAGCAGCTCACAGAGGACTGGGATGGTTTAAGCACATTGTTTATTTTCACGTTGATTACATTTACAGCAGCATTAAAGTGGTCTGAGCGGGTAGGGACGTAGTGTGATCCACGTGCCTGCTCCGGCCCCGCATCCCGGCTCCTGTTGCTAGCACAAGAATTTGGGGTAGACGCGGTAGCGTTTGTTGTAGCTCCCAATGTTTCGCTTCAGGCAAAGCACCAGGCTGCGGTCGCACTCGCAGGAGTACTGGGAGCACCAGGAGCCCTTTCCTGCAGGCAGAGGGGAGCCCAGAGTCAGCCCTGGCTTTTTCTGGGGGGTGATACCCCCTTTGCCAGGGTCCTACTTACTGCAGGAGGGGCTGCCGCTGTGCCAGCTGTAGCTGTAGCCCCGCGTCTTGGCGTCGCAGTGGTAGCTCAGGAGGTTTTTGTAGCAGGTATCATGCAGCTGGCAGCATCTGTACAAGAGGTTGAGGTTTTTGGAGGTTGGGTTTTTTTTTCCCCTGACCCCTCCCAGATTTGAAACCATCCAGGGAGGTTCTTAAATGGGTGCTTACCTGTCTGTGGCATCTCTGGGCTGTCCTTTGCCCCCCAGGCCGCAGTAGCAGCCATAAAGGGAGTAGTACAGGAGGGCATTTTTCCCTGTGGCCTTCGTGATCATCTTCTGCAGCTCCCAGAGGCTCCCATGAGCTGGGGACAAGCCTAGGAGAGGAAATAAATAGGGCTCAGGCTGACACCCATCTCCCCTGCAGCTTCTCCATCCCCTAGATCAGTACCAGGCTGGTGATGTCTTAAAAAGGAGTTGATGCAATGGAAAGGAAAGGTACCCCTGGCTCAGTGCAGGAGAGTTGTGTGTTTCAGACAGGTGGTCTTAAGGAAAGATTAGGAAATCACCAGCCTGGTCCTGATTTCCATAGATACAACTGCATGGAGAGCCATGGGGCTGGTGTGGGTAGGACACTTACCCCAAACAAGCAGTGCAGCGAAGGCGAGGAGAGAGTTCATCTTTTTGACAGCCCTGGGAGAGGAAACCAAACCCCTGTAATTTCCCCTGTTATATCAACCGCTTTCTTTTTTACTTCCCCCCTGGTCTGAGGCCAGAGATGCTCCTCATCTCTGGGCATCAGGGGTGATGAGGGGGTGAGGATGCCCCCGTCTTTGGCACAAAGCGCTGCTGCATCAGGGATGGGAAGTGATGGGAATCGGATGGCAGAAGGGTGGGAAAAAGGAAAATGAAGAGAAAGGAAGAAAAGTTGGAGAAATGATGGGCCCTCCAGGGCTGCACCCCGCTACTCTGCCTCTGAGCTGGCATCTCAGGTCTCCTCTGCTTTGCTCCTGCTTTCCCGGCCTGGACCTCACTCCCTGCTTGAACCGTGGCCTTTAGTTTAAGTAGGAAAGGGAGGAAAAGCGTTCCTCCATCCTCACTTACCTCAGGAAAGCCACCGCTTGCTTGCAGGGCCCTGCAGCCAGCAGAGCTTGCTTTATATAGCATTTGCTCCTGCTGTGGGATGCTCATTTCACCCAAATTTTGCTGACTAGACTTTTCTACAAAGGAGAAGGTGCCTTCCTTCCCCTTTACAGGAATGCAAGAAATCCCCCCAGCTCCGTATCCCAGGCACGGGGGCTGGTGCTGGGTGGGATGAGCTGGCAGAGCAGCGTCATTTCCAGCCCGAGGAGGAAGCCAACGCGCTCAGCCCCCGGCCGGAGACACCCAAGGGCGTTTTACTCTGCCCTCCCCAGCCCCATGGTGCCATAAAGGAGGGTGGGGGAATAACAGCCCTGATTCAGCTTGTGCATCCTAGCGGCTGTGAAACGAAGTGGGTTTGGGGGTTTTTGAGGGCGTGAAGGAATAGTGTGGTTCTCGGTTGTTTGGGGAAAGTATATGGGCAACAATAAAAGCACCTGTAAATGTGTAGTTCCCAGAGACATTGGGTGGTTCAGGATACTGGATGGTTAAACTGCTTACCCACTGTGAGAAGAGAATGAAGCAAAATGATGTTTTGGGAGGAGTGAATGCAAATTCCCTTTATTTCTCTCTCTATGATTTTTCCACCTCCTCATTGCAGCCCCTCTGCTGAATCCATCCCGTATGGAGAAGCCAGTTCATCCCCTACTTAACTGCCCTCCTAAATTAGCATCCGCCTTGGGATAGACAAGGCTTTGAAAACTGACTTCTCTCCTCCACAGATAAGTATTCTTTAGCCTTAATTTCAGCCACCATTTTAACCTGAGTAAATGTCAGAGGAGGCTCTCAAATCATCTTCCACATTTTCTTGCTTTCCATTATTCCTGTAAAAATGTATTTTGGCTGTATCTCACTGCCCCTTAATGCACTGCTGTGTTTTAGCTCTGAGTGTGAGCTCAGCTAGCGGGAAGGGTGTTGGGAGAAGCCAAAAACCCTGACTGCCATCTGGGCCTGGCGCTGGGGAATTGTTTTGTTTGTGAGATGCAAAAGTGCTCCCCAAACTCGGCAGCCCAGGTGCCACTGTTGCAGCGTCTCAGTATCGGTGGCTCTTACAGAAAAAAAACCACGGAGAATCGTTTTGAATACCTTTTATTTAAGTATCTTTGCTGGGAAATGAAATCAAGGGAGAAGGGAGAGGAGAAAGGGACAAAAAGTCAAGCTGACGTGTCTTTCTGGGAACTGGGGGACCTCCATCTGTAATGTACATGTTCCTTTCCTCACCCCGAGCATCCCCTTGATGGCTCCCTTGCACCCTCTTGATGGCTCCGGCTCTGTTCAGCCTCCACATCAGGCTTTTGTTTCCGTAGCAATGTGGAAAACCAGTCAAAATCTGCAACCTTGGGTGCAGTTTTCCCCTCCTCAGCACTGGAGCTTGCTTCCTTGGCATTTCAGCTTGAAATAGAAGCGGTAGGATGCATTGTAGGAAGGCATAGCGCTCGCGAAGCACGAAGCCACCGCCTTGTCGCATAGGCAGGTCTCTCTTTTGCACCAGCTCTGCTCTTTACCTGCAGGAGGTGCAAACACAGGGCTCTGCAGTGGCTTTTCCAGCTGCCATCGACGATGGGGTCCCCTTGGGGCACCCCCGATGCCTGGAGCTGCCCGAGGGAAGCACATGAAGAAGCATGCCCCGGTGCTCACCCTCTCCAGCCTCCCTCATCCCTCCCAGTGCCCATTTATTTACCATATGCTGCATCCTCCAGTAAGTGTCCAACCAGGCATCAGGCTGGTTTCAGTACTCACCACAGATGATGTCTCCGTTGACAACATCGAAGTGGTAGGGGGTTATCAGGGGTCTGCATTTGCCCTCTCGCACCCTCTTGTAGCAGCAGTCGTGGGCATGGCAGCATCTGTGGGGGACACTGTCTCAAACTGCTGCCCCCGAGCCCGCCCTCACCACACTTGGACGGTAAAGGAAGGTCCAACCTCAAATTTCAGGTGACCAGGAGGAGCGGATGACAAGGCAGCAGCAAAACTCTCACTCAACACAACAGCAGGCTGCCAGGAGCTTTTTTTAGGGACCCCCATACACCCTGCACCGGGGCGTTGATGCTTTTCCAGGTACTCACCGGTCGGTGGAGTCCACCGGGGTCCCTCTGCCCCCGATGCCGCAGAAACACCCGTACCAGCTGTAGGAGAGCAGGGCGCTTTTCCCCGTGGTCACCTTGATCATCTGCTCCAGCTCCAAAACGCTGCCGCGAGCCGGCAGCAGCCCTGCGGAGGGGCAGAGGGACAGGTCTGTATGGGTGCAGAGCGAGGCAGGCAGCGTTTCCTGTGCCTTGCATTGGGCAGAGGAATTAAGTAAGTCTGGCGTTGCTGGAAATCCGCACTTTCAGGCACATGAGCCATGAGAAGCCCCCAGAAAACCTCCTCAGGATTACGTCTGGTTTCTGCAGCTGCCTGATTTGATCTGGCAGAAGATATTACTGCTCTCTGCACAGGCCGTGCTGCGCGTGCATCCTGCGACCGGCAATGCCACATGGCCAGGATCAGCCCTGGGCTTGGCACAAGCAGGACAGAAGGTGACAACGGGCTCTGGGGCCTCTTAAAGTAAATACAGCTCTGAGCATCCCAAATCCGCACCGTCACAGAGACTTCCAGAACTGCAGCAGTGCTACACAAAGCTTTAGAGAGAAACTGCAAAATTTAAACAAAACCCTGAACATGCAGAAAGGCTCTGGGTTTGTACGTCTTGTTTTGCCACACAGATGAGATCCCAGCATGGCCCAGTAAAACAGGGGCACTTACCACAAGCCAAGAGCACGGCAAAGAGGAGATTCTTCATCCTCAGGCTGGCCCTGGAGGAGAAAACCGAAATGGTGGGTGATGAGCAGCACTCTGGGGGCAGGACAGACGCTGTCCCCATGCTGAGGGCACGGAGCCGGTCGGGTGTACGCTGGCAGCACCACACGGCGACATTGATGTCACTGCGGAAATACAGCACTGTGACGGTACCACCGTGCCTGAGTGCACGCAGCTGAACCCAGTGGGCCTTTGGACTCCGGTTTTGGGCTTCAGCACTTAGCAGGGGACACAGTGGTTGTCCTGCCTGGGGCTAGCAGAGCAGCTCACCGTCTGCAGCCTCCCACCGCCACCCCCTGAGCTCTCTGATGAAACAAGAGGGCAGTAAAATCCCCCCGCTCCTTACCCCGCCTGGGCTTCACAGATCTGAGACTGCTGGCTTAGCGGCTCAGCTTTATATAGCTGGGGAGGTCCACCCCCTCCTCTGTCTGCGCTGACGGCGCTATTCATTGCAGAGCAGGTCTCTCCGAGCAGCCCTTCTGTGAAGGAGAAGGTTCCCATCCTTCCCTTCTACAAGAGACGCAATTTTTCCCTGCAGTGATGTGCTGCCAGCCGCGCTCCCTCCATCACCTTCAGCACCTCGCTTCTGCTCGTCGGCTGGGCCCACACAACTTTTGGATGAGGCCAGTCAACGTCTTGGCTGTGATTTTAAAAGCCACGGGGTTTGGTGACTGGAGAGACAGGACAAAAAGCAGTTTATGTTGAGCAGCTGGCACCATGGAGGTTGTGGCGTCCTTGTTCCAGCTGCAGAGGCAGCGCTTTGGCCCTGGTGTGGTCTCCAGTGAGTGCTTGGTTTTTGCCAGCTCACGCCCTGCAAAACCTCAGAGATGGTTTCTCTTGGTCCTTTCAATTGCCCCCCAAATCCATGTCTGCATCCAAATCCGGCCACACCGAATGGCAAGGGGAGGCGAAGGGGAGGGTCGTGAGCACCGAGGTCTTATTTCATGAGTCTGCTGTTTTTCCACGTAGGCAAGGGGGGTCTGCAAAGTTAAATCAGCAGCAGCAAAGGCTGGAAACGCCATGGAAACCTGACTTGGAGTGCATTTTGAATACAATTTATTTAATCACGATAACTGAGACATGATATGAAGACACAAGGGAGGCAGAAAACCAGAGGAGATAAGAAACAAAAGCTGCTATCTTCCCGGCAGAACCATGGGGCCGAGGGCAAACACGCACACAAACGCAGGGTATCAGGCGCGTATGCAGGGCTCCAACCTCAGTAATGAACCGCACTTCTCCACCCTCAGTAATGAACCACACTGCTAGGGAAGGGGGTTTTGGGAGGATGTTGTAAGAAAACAGCTCAGGGCTCTGTATTCAAGAAGAAAACCCCTTCTTGAATTTCTTGAGAGCTGCCAAAGCTGCTCTCTGGAAGGGACATCACCTTGGTGCTGTCATCAAGGCTGGCAGAGGTGTCTGTCCCGGGGCTTTTCTTCCCTCTAACCTTTTACTTCCTGCTGCCAAGTGGAATCAAAAGCCACCCGGGCCTGATACAGAAAGGATGGGCAGCAGCAGCTCCCCTCCCCGCTCAGGTGTGCCGAGCAGCTTACCCGCTTGTTGTCAGCACAAGAAACCACCCCAAAATGCTGCGGTGCAAACCGACGGGCATCATGCCGATGCCCAAACCCCCTGCTTTCCCTGCCTGGCTTTTCAAACCCTGACATCCCTGGCAGTTAAGCATCCCCTTCCCACCTCATCCACAAAAACCCTTCCATTATAGACGATTTTCCCCACTCTGCTGTTCGTTATCTGCACCACTCGTCCTCGTGTGCTTTGGCGTTGTGGGTCCTTGCTCTTTGGGGGGGTTTGTGGGGGGTTTTTGCTGCTGTGTAGGCCCTGATGGGGAAAGATGCCCCCGATCTCCTGGGGTTTTGCTGTAGTTTGGTTAAACCTGCGTGAAAAGCACCGTCCAGGGGCCTACATCAGGACCAGAGGGCTGGGGTTGCGCAGACTGAGGATCCACAGGTGGCTTTAACCAAATCCCCTCATTTTAAGCCTGCAAAGGATCTCAGGAGAGCGAGCACGCGAAGCTAAACCCTCTCTTCAATGGAGCCGCAAACCCACGGGCTTAAAAACCACCCGTAGGAGTTATCATTTGGATTTGGACAGGCTGAACCGATGGGC